ATATAGACTACAAATCAGGATACAAAAAATAAGTAATACAATATTTCTTAGCGAGAAATGTTAGCATCATTCATTCTGTCACGCTTTACATTTAATATTTGACACGTGAGCTCTATTGACATAATATATTATTATTTAAATAAAAAATGAGATAGTTAGATCCACGTGTCAAACAGTGAATGCAAGAGTGACAGAAAAAGTAATGTTAATATTTCTCTTTTCTTGTTGTAAAATCTTCATAATTAAAATACAATATTTCCTAATATAAACCTGAATCCGTCATTTTCAACATTTTTTAACATCCATACTAAAATAAAATAAAAAACAGAACAATATTCCAACAACTTAGCATATATAGGTGACTACAACCAGTTAAATTTTAACCAGCACACAAACCATAACAAATAAGCCAAGAAACACAACCAAGAGATTGAACAAAACAAGCATTTTTCCTGCAGCAACATTTGCTTCCAAAGCCACGATCCGTTCAATAATCCTTGGGTTTGATGTAGGAGCACGAGCACCAATATCAGGAATTGGAGCTGCATCATTCTTAAAATTCAAACAAATTTCTTGTTTTGAAGAGGAACCACCAACAATAGAGCACGCTGGATCATCTCGTTCCCACATTGCAAGAAAATTGCAACCATCCCCCTTTTTTGGGCAGCAATAGATAAGTTTGTTTGGATTTTCTTTTGATTCAGATATCTTCAGATCTGCCGTCTTCCCGCACTTACATTTTCGATTCAAAAAAGTTATTTCTTCATTGCAGGATTTGTTGGTTTGAGATGGATTCTAAAACATAGAAATAGATTTTTTTTTTCATTAAAAAATCATCTTTAGCAAAGAAATGTGGGATGCATATACTAAAACGAACATTCAAGAAAATAAAATCATCAACTTCAACATAAAAAATAAAGGTCGTACTCACTTTTAGTCCACGAATTGTAGGTAAAAATTTTATTTTGATCCCTGATTTTTAAACCATCCTAACCAAAATGTCTAAAAATTCATACCTCTTGTCGATCCAACAGTTAAAATCTAGATGGAAAATTGTGAGACTTCCTTTTAAACAGGTGTGCCCTAAGATGTAAAATTATAAAATGAACTCCAACTAAACCAAAAATGATCGTGACAGGCTTTTTCCTCAAGATTTTAAAAATTGGATGACCATGATGAATAATTTGTGACAAACTTGATAGATTGGGGACTCGTTTTATGACATTTCAAAATGGAAACTAAAACGGGATTCAACCTCTAGTTTAGGAACTAAAATGAAGTAACCCAAAAACAAAAACCACATAAACGGGAGTAAAATTTAGATTTCCTGATTTTTTTTCCTTCAATATAAAACCAAAAAAATTAACCTCTACCTACCGTCTTGATTGGACAGCTTTTGTCTTCTTTGTTGTCAAAGGATTGAACTGCAGAACATGATGAGCTAGTCTGTATTTTTCTTTGTAGTGCCGCTGCTAAAGGACCCTTTAGGGCTATGGAATTGCAATTGAAATTTTAAATGTTAGGAACTAGTTTAATAAAACAAAAGGACTAAAATGGATGTTTGACAATTAGTTTACAGTATCTGCTTTCTAGTGTTCGGAAACAGGTTCACAACGACAATATGACCATTTCCAAAAATTTAACTATCGGAATCAATGCCTGGAATATTTCTAACATGAAAATGAAAATACATGTAAGGTTTATACCATTTTTGAAAAGTCATGGTAAAACATGATATTTCTAAAAGACATGTCTCGTTCATTTAACTTATTTGAGTTTTTAATTTAAATTTTGTTACCTTTTTCTGTTACATTTTCTGTTACAATTAAAAGCTCTTATATAAAATTATATCTCAACTTTAAAAGAAAACTCGAATCGGTAAACTGAACAGGACATAGAAATTCAACATTAGTTTAGATCATATGAAAATAGAAAGGGCTGACATTGAAGCATATAGTGTTAATGAATTTTATAATAGAGGAGAGGATGTTTAAGGTAGATAGACACAAAATATGTCATCACTAAGATCATGTAGATATTCCTTTGACGTCAAAAAGCTCTTTGGTTATTTTGCCAATGCCATGGTGGGCAATAAACTGCCCTAAAAGTAAAAGTTGAAGCCTCACCGAATTTCTGAATATAAGCCTTTATATAGACAGGACGGAGTTGCTCGATCGCTTGCGCATCTAAATAGGAGTCGCAGGAGATGCACCGAAATGATAAATCTCTGTTTTTTAAACAACCCCACAAGGCAATGAGACAAATAAATTCAAACCTAAAAACAGAGAGAGAGAGAGAGAGCTTCTCAAGAAATGGGCAATTAGATATTGGTACCTGTAGACAAATTCAAAGCAGTGGTCTGTCTTGCCACGATGTTCTTGATTGTGCTTGTTAACAAGCCGGCTACAGAAAACCCCCTTGCAGCATAAACACAGCACATTGTCATCTGGGTCCTGACAACTTTTTTTTTTTTTTTTAAATTGGTTCAGAAAAAAAGAAGAGATAAACAGATGATTCATATACGATAGTAGCAAAAAAAATTTTATAAGAATCCCTTACACTTGGCAAGGAGTATGTGGTTTGGGAATGTGAGCGAGATCAGACGAAAGGGACGCCAAGTGATCGCAGGAGGTTCGAAGCTCACCCCGACTTGATTTCTTTATGTGGAGGTAAGACACCCAACCTGATATTGCTTCATATATCAATTCCTCTATGTAGGTATTTTCCTGATGAATATGATCAATAAAAGCTTATTAGAGATTAAGAAAAGAAATTATTTATATATATATATATGAGTTTTCAATGGTTATAGCTTATAACCGGAGGGACACAGGAATCGCCGGTACAGTTAGCCATGGAGAAAGTTTAGCTTCCTGACTTCAAAAACTATCTGTATCTCAGAATTGGGAAGCGGTGTTGAAATGAATTAAAAGTTTCCCGTCTATGTATTCATACACAAAAGATTCGTCGCACTTCCTTACTCCCTTAGAAAAAGAAATTCAAAAAGATTCCTGGTGTTGTGAAAGCTTCCATGTTGTTGTTGTAACCCCACTAGTTAAAAGACGTTTAGTGAGTGCATTAAATCTTTAGCGATAAAAAGCTCCCAAGTTGTCATAAGATTAAGAAAAGGAAAATTCCATCACGAGGAACCTTGGAAACATCTTGGGATTGAGCCTATCTATAGCCGTTGGATCAACATTTTAGTTGAGCTCAGCCGTCAACAGTGTGAACAAGTAGGCCCTCGATTGACTGGGCAGAGGGGTAAAGATGTGAAATCCCAAAATTAATCCTTATCTAGTCTTAATCATAATGGGAAATTCTTAGGCTTAAAAAAAATTAATTATTAATATTTTTTTATTTTTTAATCATCAAATCAAAAACTAACTGTTTTATATTTATTTTTTAATTTAATATGATTTTGATCAGAAATAATTATCAAGAATTGACCCTACCAATTTATCAGAGAAGGTCTCAACATTAATATTAATAAAAGAGCCGTATGGTCTTCACCATTCACTTCGGGTAGTCCAATCCGTTCCATGGCTTCCTTTTTTTTCCCCCTACTTTTTTTTTTGCTCTATTTCTCTACCATAGTCACTTAACCTTAAAACCCTTTGAAATTTTATTTCTTTTAACTCCACTTGTTTAGCGCTTCACCTTTTTGTGCCCTTTTTTAACTGTATATTTGTCTAGAGGTTGTCTCTTATAAATGGCACTTTACTTTTCATTATTTATTATCTTTCACTTTTTTAAAAAAGAATTTTGAACTATGCTTGTTTAGCAATTTAGTCCTTAAACCAAAGGTATAATTTTGATGAGATTAAAAACCGATAGTATATTTCTAAATAAAAATAAAATATAGGATGTAAAAAGATAAATAACTCATTCAAATAATAGAGGAACAAACCTAGGACTATACACATAATCAGCAACAAAAGAAGAAAGAAGGGACCGACCTTCTCCGGTAAGCGCCGGTCTACCGGTAGTCCCAGTTTTTGACCGTTAGATTTAGTCAAAATCACATTAAATTTAAAAAGTATGTATAACAGACAGATTTTGATGCGTATCTGACTGCTGAAAAGTCGATGACTACCAGTAGAATATCATGTGTACTCACAGTTATTTTGCGAAGATAGTTCCTACTTGCTGAGCGAAAGCTCAATCAGATATGTTCATGCTGTAGGTAAGAAACCTATCAGCAATCCTTGAAGGGCAATGGCGAGTGGCGGACGAATGGTGGAGATGGGAATGGATACCGCTAACACTCAAATCTTCCGCAGTAAGTTTAAGTAAAATCATGTATATGTCTATATGATTCAAAGGTTTCAAGCACGTATGTTTAAAAAGTATATGTATATATGTATGTTAAGGAAACCGAGGTTGTAGCTAACAACCCTAGTTTTGAGTACTTAAGTTTTAGAACATTGCAACAGTGCATGCAACAAATAAATGAATTTTAAACATGACGATTTAAATGATGGATTTTAAAAGGACTTTAAGATGTACTTGAATTTAAGATTTCTCACAAAATCAATTTAAAAGTCAAATTAAATGGCCCGATTGAATTGACTAGTTTTAGAAAGGCTTTTAAAAAGTATTTGAAACAAGAGTTGAAACGCTGCTCTGTTTGAAAGATATTTCTAGAAGGTTTTATCTTAACTGAAATTAAGAAAAGCTTAAAGAAATTTAGGGATTCATTCTCTTGAAATTATTGTTACGAATTATGAAATTATTCCTTCTTATATTTAAAAAAAAATGTTTCACAAATTTGAAGAAACCCGAGTAAGTACAAGTTAAAAAAATTAAGCTACGGTGGCGGCCACCTAGGAGGGTCGTCATATTGTCCATATCCCTGTTAGCCTTGCTCTGAAGTGTTTTGGACTATGGAAATGTTTTTAAGACAAAACATGTTTTATAAAGAAGAGTAGTTTGAGGAAATAACATGATTTATGGTACTGAATCCATAATGAACTGAATTAAGGTTTAACATATATATTTTTAAAATAAGACGTTTTAAGAAATGGTAACAATGCTGATGGCCTAGTGATTGGGATATAGAGATCATATCATTAAGGGCATGACCTGAAACCCGCACGGGCCACTACGGTGGTGTTATGGCCTTGCAATTACTGTAAGTAATTTATTATAGTTTATAAATTACTTGTTGATGCGTGAAACTGAAAATTTAAGTTTATTTTCCTTTCAAAAAAATGATGTTTGGTTCTAAATGATATGTTTTGACCGTGCACGTTATTTTTAATTTATAAAGTTTTTCTAAAATTATATCATACTGAGCCTTTCGTTCACTTTTTCCTCTATTTTCAATGTATTAAACCCTTCCAACGTTAGCGGTTTAGATTTACAGCATGGCAAGTGAATGCTAATGGATTGAATGCGCGAGATTCGAAGTGGTTAGTTTGTTTTGAATTAACAGTTTTTAATTCTAAGATATACTGTATTTCTGTATATAAACTGTATTGGTCAATATTGTTCCAGAGTTGTACTATTTTCTTTAGATTTTATGGACTATTTTAGTATTATTTGCAAAAGAAAGACTTATTGTTGGTTTTAGTATTATTATTGTTGGTTCGTGAGTTCAGGTACAGTGCTCCTGTCGTCAGGCGAGGAGGGGGTGGTGTTTAGTTGCAGAGGTCGCCAGCGGTTTTGTTTGACGATATTGGAGGGGTGGCAGGTGAAATCTTGTTCACATGGGGTGAATGAGTCTTTTTTAAAAAAATTTAAAAAAATAAAAAGCTAAAAAACTATAGTGTACCTCTAAAAAAAGGAAAAAAAAGCAAATAAGGTGCATACCGGTATATTCTATCAATAATAGACCCTCATCTCTAACCAATAGAATATCATGTTAAAGCGTACATTTTACTTGTTCCATCGGTGGAGCTAAATATGGGGTCTCACCATAAAGGTTTTGGAGAATTATATTTGGATAATTTTTTGTTATTCTTTTAAAATTATTGACTGAGTCACGTACTATAAACATAGAGAATAACATTAAAGGTTTAATTTCGCGTTAAAACACGTGACTTTCTTAGAAATAATAGATCCACTAATTGGAGAAGGAAAAGAAGTATTTAAAAAAAATTAAATAGGGGTTTACTTGAACGGACAATTTTAATAAAAAAAAAAGTAAGAAAAAATAATTTTAAAGAAGAATATTGTCAAAAAAATTGAATTAACAAAGAGTATAAGGGGAAAAAAAAAAGATAATACACAAAAGAAAAGTAGAAAAACTAAACAAAAAAGTTTTAAGAAAAAATAAAAAAAGAGAACATTTGGAGAAAGAGAAGAAGAAGAAGAAAGAGCTAAACTTATATAGGGTATTTTGAGGGAAACAAACTTAATTAGAAACATATTTAAAAGGATTAAAGGAAAGTATTGTAAAAAAAGATATTGAAAAAAAAAAGAATACTAAAAAAGGAACAAAAAATAAACAATAGGTAATAGAAAAGGAAAAAAAATCTAATAGCCATTTAAACAAAATTTATAATGGAAAAATAAGCTTATTGTGTGTGTATATATATATATATATACATATTCTTATCTCTTATAAGTCTTTTCATAGCTATAGCTAATTAATAATGTCAAATTTCATGAGACAAAAATTACAAATTTATTTTACTATTCACATAAATATTACTATTTACATTCTTTTACTTGTTACTCCCATGACATTCTTAAAAAAAATAAAAAATAAAAATAAAAATAAAAAAAAAACATCATAAAATAAACCAGTTGTAAGGTTTTCTTCTGTTTTGCTTTATTTGGTTTTTTTATTTTATTTTATTTTATGTTTTGGAAATCAATTGTAAGAAATTATACAAAAAAACCTCAACCTGTTCTTTTCCCGGCATTTCCAAAATCTAATATCCACATAATCATTTTGTTTATGTATTATATTGTTACTAATCAGCACGTGCTACGCTTATGACTGGTTAAAAGAAAAACAAAAAAAGAAATACTTTTTTCTGTTGCTTTTATTTTTATTTGTTTTGCATAACAGGCACTTTGTTCTTATCATCACTCGTACGAAAATTATAGATTTGTCAAATTTTTTTTCCTTCCCTTCATGTTGATCTTTGGTTTGAGAAATTTGCAGCAGAAAATAATAGGAAAAAAAAAAGGATTTGTCGAATCTTTCACCAAAAGTCGTAAAAGTTGTTGATCATCTTGTAATAACATGAGAGAGGATCCTTTTATGTTAACAGGACACTTTTTTCTTGCACCGTATCGGGAAATACGATAATTTATGAAATTTTATGTTAAAATTTATAAATTTAAATGATAAAATAGTAAATTTGAATAATAATTTATAAAATTTTAAATTTTATAATGAATCGTTTGAGTTTTCAAATTTTAACGTAAATTATTATAAAATTTAAATTTCACAAGTTATCGTAATTTTTATAATTTTATTATTTAAATTTATAAATTTTAATGTAAACTTTTATAATAATTACCCTATCTCCTAAAACGGTGCCGAGAATCTTTCGCTGCCAGCATGCAAGAATCCGAAAGATGAGATATATCAAAATACACCGCACGTTATTTTGTCCATTTTCAGGTCTGCATTCATAGAAACAATAAAATATATTCGTTGACATTTTACGTGTGAAAGCTAATCATTGACTTTTCTACATCCATGATCGTTGTCAAACCATCTATCTAGCTAAACCTTCGACCTTAAAGAAGCATTAAATACCAAATAAGTTAGTTGCTGCAATATCTCTATATATAGAGCGCTAAGCCAACCCAGTAAACCCACACACTTCTCCATATCCAAATCCGCATTCCTCTTCATTGAAGAAGCAAACGATGGTGAGAGTCATTAGCTATAGATATGCTTTTTGCTGTGACACACAGAAACACATATACACTTACGATATAGATGAATAAAAAAAAACACCAGTTTTTTCATGTATTCTTTAAGTTTTTTATGAAAAAGAAAAGCATAAGAAGAGTTAGAAATAATGCTCCTTTAACGTACAGTCATGATTGATTTTCCAACCTTGAGCGAAGTTAGTTTGATCTTCTTTTTCTTAAAAAAAAAAAAAAAAAAAAAAAAAAAAAAAAAAAAAAACTGAAATTAGTTTCAGTTTAGCAGATTCCATATTATATATACAGTGTGTATTTGTTGTGTGTATAGAAAGGTCGACGAAGTATTTAAAGCTTATTGGTAATATAATACAACGAAAGCTTGTAAATATATATACACATATATGTGTGTGTGTATTTGAATATTTAACTGTCCCTTCAAAAATATTTTGCAGTCTGCTACAACAATTGGACCATTTGGAGGGCCTGATGGCAAACCTTGGGATGATGGGTCCGGACATACTGGAGTTCGAGGTATCAAACTTACATACAAGGGAGCAGTCGGGTCTTTTCGTGCTGTGTACGACTTGAACGGCAATCCTGATCTAGGGCCCGGACATCCAAGTGGTGACTTCAGTTACCGTCCAGGAGATGTTAGTTTGTTATTTATTTATTTATTTATTTATTAGATAAATTATGTGAAAGCCCCATATATCTAAAAAATAACAATAAAGAATGGCTACATCTTTCTCTGTATGTGTATATAAAATTTTCTTTTTTATTAATCTTTGAAATCCAGGCTTACTTTAACTTCCGAGAGGGGGAGAGGATTACTGGAGTAAGTGGGCACGTTGGTGTTGTGCCTTATGACCCTACAACGACTCCTGTAGTACGGTCGATCAAATTTACGACCAACGAGAATATCTATGGACCATATGGAGTTGAAGAAGGCACACCTTTCAATGCCCAAATCCCAGATGGTGCCTTTATTTCTGGATTTGAAGGAAGAAGCAACGGTTATTACCTGAATTCGATTGGATTTCACCAAAGAACACCTTAATATATGTGTGTGTGTGTATATGTATCACCAGTGTATTATTAGTAAATAAAAACAAGACATCTTTAAGATGTCTTGGCTTTCTGTGTGATTATATAAATAAATAAACTCAAATCATGAATAAGTGTGTGGTAATAATTGTTGGTGTTACTGACTTTTATTACCATGATATATACCTAGGAATGATTTGATGAGTATGTTTAAAAAATAAGCTCTCTATAAAGAGCAGGCTCTCTATGTAGAGCTTCTTCTCGTCTGTGTAATATATGATGTATTATTGTGATGTTTGAACTAAGCTCTATATATAGAGCTGATTAAATAAAATTCAGTGAGATATTAAATATTTTGTTGTCTTGGTCTTTTTTTCCCACTATTTTTTTAGTTAAATTTATTCATTATATCTTTAATTAGATACGGCCTTTAGTAATTATAAATACTTGTTTATATCTTAAATCCTCAAATTTTTCAATATGGGAAAAAAAAAAGGTTATGATTATCTCTTGATTATCTTGTCCATCTCAACTTATTCAGATTTTCCAAGATATAGCCTTGGAAGATATCCAAATTGGAATCAGTAGAGCACAACTTGGATACCACTTTAATTACTTGGAAATTAATACAATTATGATCTCAAAAATGGAATTACATGAAAATTACAAATTAACATGTTGCATTTGAAAATTGATTTTTCAATCATGAAGATATATGAATCCTGTGTTGGAACTAATAATATATCTGAATGTCACCTAGGATATGGCAAGTTGGTTATTAATCATTACCAAGGGCAGACTTCCATAACTACAAATTCTGAAAAACCTGTAATTTGGTATTAAACATCCAAACTATACAAAACAACCTATAATTTGGTGTTAAACATCCAACTCATGCATACCATCTCAGCATTTATTTTCGGGGAAATTTTATTAACATCCCATATTTTTATTAAGGCACTTCATTTGAAAAATATAATCTCTTTATTACAATTATATCCTTGCACACCCCCAAAATGGTTTGACATCGTCTCCACACCCCATAAGCTTTTTTCATTTCTTTTTTTTTTTTTTTTTGGCGTAAAATCATTAACGACAACCAATTATGATGAATTCAATCCACAAATATTGGATGCTTTTTCATATCATTGACATCATAAATATTTTCGTTCCAAAAATAAAATAGGAAACTTATAGAACACATGAACCATCTTTCTTAATGCCTCTTTCTTTCCGTCCTCTTTTTCTTATTTTTTTAATCCTTTATTATAGGTTAAGATAGAATTTTTTTTGATTGATGTATATATATAGAAAACTAATCATACAGATAAAAAAGTTTCAAACAACAAAAATTAATATATAAAGCTTAAATTTCATTTTTTTTCTCTTGTTGCTTCTCCTTTCTTTTCAAGTCTTCTCAATATTTCTGTTGCATACGAATTTCGACAGGATGATACGATATTATCTTCAAAACAACAAGAAAAATAGATGTAGAGTTATTCAGGTGTGATTATATGCAGGGGCGGAGCTATATTAGTCCTAGTTGGGGCAGCTGCCCCCACTGGACCCAAACACTCCTCTTACAATTTGACCCCAGGGTTACAATTTTTTAACACATTTTTCTCCTTGTTTGCCCCCACTCAAATTTTTTTATTGTCGTTTCTCCATAGTTTTTTAAAGAAAATTTCAATTGGACATTGATTTTTGGTTTTTAAGTATATTCTTATTTCAAATTTAAGTCTAAAATTAACCATGCTACCATAAAAATTTACAAGTTTTAAGACTTTAAACGTTGAAAATTCAATTTAACTCTATTGATTCTAAAAAAATGTTTAACTCTAGCTTAATTCATTTAGAATCAAAGGAAAAAAAATAGATAAGTTAAGGTTAAAAATTACATCATTATAAATTTAGATTAAAATTTTAGTTCAATCATGCTTCCACTGAACAAAATTCTCGACTCCGCCACTGATTATATGACAGCGAGAGTGAAGGAAAACAGAAGAAGACACGGAAAATTAGAAAATAGGGGAAGTGGGTGGATGAATATGCTCTTTTGTTTTTTTTTTTTTTTTAAGTTGTCTTTTTTAATCATTTTCTTAGTCATGGAGTGCTTTGTACAATTAAGGGATGCCAATATAATTTCTCTTATTTTTGTTATATGCGTGTTGAAACAAAAAAATAAAGTGAATAAAAAATAGTAATATATATATATATATATGGTCACGTGGGAAGTTGGATAAATTCCGGAGGAAGTGGATGCATGGGCAAAGATAAAAATGTGTTAGTGGGAAGTCTGGTGAAAAGCAACGTGGGCCGTAAAAAGGAACCAATCAGAATGAAAGTGGAGGATAAAAAATTTAAAAAAAAAAAAAAAGAAAGAAAAAAAAAGGGACGGTTCTCTTTCTTCAAGTGCCTATATATAGGCAATGAAAGAAACAAAAGGAAATTCCCACGTAACAAACGTTGTGTAGAGAAAGGGCTGTACATAAAACCCGCAAATCCGAGGTTCCAGGCCGGCACGAGCCAAAATGAGCCCAAAATCTCAGTTTTGAAATTTTAATTTTCTTTTTCGGCTTTATAAGGGCCAAGTCTGAAAGTTACGGGCTTTATAAGGGCCAAGTCTGAAAGTTACGGGCCAAGGTGCAGGCTCAAGTATGAAAAAAGGAGAAAAGGAAAATTAGATTTGAGATTAATTAAAATTACTAAGTCAATAGTTCCGTAAGTTAATAAATAAACTAAATTATTATTTTTATCCATAATTTATTTGGTTATGAACCATAACTTAATAAGTTTGTCCATAACTTATCTGATTATGAACCATAACTTGACATTCAAATTAATAACTTATAAAATATTCTTAAAGAAAAACCCTAAATGTTAGTTGCTCTGTTTTGAAATTCAAAATCTAGACGCAGTCACAATTTTGAAATTCAAATTAAATTCCACATTGAAATTACCAAAACTTAAATCTCAAGTTAAAATTCTAAAATCATTTTAATTTCTCATACAGTCATATATTGAGGAATTATTCAAATTCAAATTTGAAATTACAACAAATTCTAAACTAAATTCAACATAGGAATTATCCAAATTCAAATCTTAAATCAAATTTCAAAAAGGCCTTTTAATTCCTCACATGGTCATATACCGAGGAATTATCTAAATTTCAAATTTCAAGTCAAATTTTTAAAGTTCTTTTAATTTCTCAGACGGTCATACACCTTGGAATTATCCAAATACAAATTCAAAATTTAAAACTAAATTATCCAAACACAAATCTCAATTCCAAATTCAAACTACAAGTGGCTTGATCCCTCAACGAGGGTATGTAGGCAACTCGGTTCAATTCACCGAGTTCAGCCGCAATTTTAAATCAACCTAAATTTTCTAAATTTACAAAATTATTGATCTAAATCAGTTTTCAATCAACTAAACAAGTCCAATAATTAAAAATCCTTAAATTTCAATCAATTTTAACAACAATTGTTTAAATTCAAACCCTAACACGAAATTATTTAAATCTAACCAAAATTTTATATTCTCAAACCAATAATTCAAATCCAGGTATGGATTTTCATGAAATCCTTACCTCAAAGTGATTGAAACTCGTTTTTCCTTCAAATTCTCTCATTTTCATTTTTTTTTTTCTTCTGAGGCTCTCGGCCAGCCAGCAAGAGAGAGAAAAAAAGAGGGAGGGAGTAATGGCCGGAAAAGGAGAGAGAGAGAGAGAGACAGCCCACGGGAAGGGAAAGGAAAAAGGGGAAAAAGAAAAAAAGAAAAAAGAAAAAGAAAAAGAAAAAAAAAGAAAGAGAAAAGAAAAATAAGTGTCTAAATATTTAAAATAACAGTTCAGAAATGTACTTATACACATTTTTGAATAAAAATATAATTATTGAAAATATTTAAATTCTTTAAAAATATTTAAATTTACTCGTCAAAAATATTTATTAATAACTAATTAATTAATTCAGATTAAACACATTAATAAATCTTAATTATTTTAATTAATCTCATTTAATTTTTTGAGGTGTTATAATTTTAATTAACGGCGTATTATGTTATTGGAGGGAACGAAAAATAATAGGAAGAAAAAATATTTGTCGAATCTTTTGCCAAAAGTCATAAAAATTCAAACAACGATATTATCTTCAAAACAAGTTTTGTCTCTTGTTTAAAGCTTAAATCTCATTTTGTCTCTTGTTTCTTCTCCTTTCTTTTTAAGTATTCTAAATACTTCTGTTGCATACACATTTCGATAGAATGATACGCTATTATCTTCAAAACAAGAAGAAAAATGGACGTAAGGTTATTCAAGTGTGATTATACGATATTATCTTCTCCGCCCCTGCATATAATCACACCTGAATAATCCTACATTCATTTTTATTCTTGTTTTGAAGAAAATATCATATCATTTTGTATTAGGCCCAATTGGGGCTGCTATTAGGCCCAGTGGGACTTGTTTAAAATGATTTGTTTGATTGAATTAAAATTTGATGAGCAATGGGCATTGGATTAAAAGAAAGTCAGTCCTGCAAGACCCACTCTTTACTAGTGGTGGGTTTAATACTAGTGGTGCCTTTAAGCTTCTTTTTTTTCTTTTTTTCTTTTTTTTTTTCAAATTCAAAGGACAACTCCGATGTACAAAGAATTAAAGATGATATAGACTTATTGGGAAAAGAAAGTGAGTCCTGCAAGACCCACTCTTTACTAGTGGTGGGTTCAATACTAGTGGTACCTTTAAGCTTCTTTTTTTTCTTTTTTTCTTTTTTTTTTTCAAATATAAAGGACAACTCCGATGTACAAAGAATTAAAGATGATATAGACTTATTGGCTCTCTATTAATATTTGGTTCCACAATTGATATCTCATTGAGCGACTTTGATTTATTTGTATATTTAACTCGATAAATTTGGTGCAGTTAGTTTGGTTCCAATGGTAATTAGAGCTTGTTTAAAATGATTTGTTTTTAGTTCTTAAGTTGTAGCCCCTTTAAAACCGTGCATGGGTGATAAGCGTGGTCAAATCCGTTTTGTAACCAAGTCATTTATTGGAGTTATTTGTCAAGAATTTTGAATTCATAGTTGGTCACTTGATTGTCAAAAGTTTGAGTTTACGATACATTTTCCTAAATCACGATAAATTCAGGATGCAACCAGCAGCTGCCTGAGAACTACACAGTGTCATTTCCTCATTTACGAACACATGACAAATCATTTAAATTTCAACGACACCTGTGGTAGTACGAACTAAACGATGGATCGATCGTGTTTAGAATTAATCCTGTTTTTATTTTTTACATTTTTCAAAAAAGAAAAAATGAAAACGTTTTTAAAATGTCATTTGGCGTAATAAAGATAAAAAATAGAAATGAAAACGATTTTTTGGTTTAGTTGAAAATAAAAGAGAAATGAAAAATGACTTTTAGTCATTTTTCATTTTTTATTTTCGTTTTCTCCCCTTCCGTGCAGAGAGAAAGAAAGAGACATTAATAAAATTTTTTTATACTGAAAATAATCTCTTAATAAAACTACCAAATATATTTTTAAAAATAATTTCTATTTAAAATTAAAAATGTTTTAATTTTTATTTTAATATAAAAAATAAAATCATTTTAAAACGAATTTCAAACCTTTAATATTTTTATTCAAAAAAATTTCATAATTTAACTTTGATAAAAAAAATATTACGTCAAAAAAAAAAAAAAAAAAAAAAAAAAAACCACAGAACCGTGACTCTATTACGTAGGAATACATACGAAGATAGAACGGAAGAGGCGCCCAACAGAACACCGCAATCCGATGATATTGTGATGGTCTCCAAGGAGTAGGATTTCGGAAAAGAGAAAAAATCGAATTTAGAGGGAAAAAAAAAGTAAAAATGAAAAATTTTTGAAGTCGCCACCAACTCAACCAACTCGGAGTGAGTCGAGGAGTGAGGCAACTGAAATGCGCAATCCATGTCGTCCTGCCATGGGAGCAAATCCGCCAAATCCGCCATTTTTATCCAACTCCGAAGCTCCCACTCCTTCCAATCCCGACTTCATTTATCGCCGTTTACTCTGACGGAATCGAAGCTCGAGAATCGCATACCTGAGAGAAATCTTGTTTCCAATCATTAAAGATGTCAAATTCGGAGCTCTCTTGCTCCGATTCCTCTTTCTTTTCTTCAAGCTCGAGCTTCTCTGTTAATGGCGGGTTGTTTCTGGAGCCTGCGGTTTCCAATAATTCCTTTCTTCGCTGGGTCTCGCCGGCGGCGGAGCAGAGTTTTGGTAAGGGTTCTTCTGTGTCGTCGTCGTCGAATTTGTGTCGATTCAAAGCGGTCGGAGTCGGAGGAGGAAGGTTCTTGTCGGTGAGCTTGACAAGCGACGGGATTGTTCGCGAGACGAAGAGGTGTTTGGTTCAGAATGGGTACGAGGACGCTGTGGTTGAGGAGAGGAAGAAGAAGAATCAGAAAATTAGGGTTCGGAAAGGCGCTGCCGTCAACACCACCAAGCATTTATGGGCTGGCGCTATCGCCGCCATGGTTTCCAGGTCTGTTTTGGTTCTTCTTGTTGAAGAAAATCTTCAATCTTTAATGTTTGGATTACTACTTGAGTGGTAATTTCATGTTTTGTGAACAATTTGGTTTGGGATTCTGACATAAGATTTGCTAACTGATTATGAGAAACATTATTGTATACTATTTGTACTTGTCAATTAATTAATGGTTATGTGAATACCTATATATTAAGTGCTTGGTTGATAAGAGGATATTGACTATTCTTGTTCTCTCAGAACTTTTGTGGCACCACTTGAGAGATTGAAGCTGGAATACATAGTCCGTGGTGAGCAGAGGAAACTATTTGAGCTCGTCAAAACTATCGCGGTTTCGCAAGGCTTGAGAGGATTTTGGAAGGGGAACCTTCTTAACATCCTTCGCACAGCGCCGTTCAAAGCCGTCAATTTTTGCGCTTATGATACTTACAGAAAGCAATTGCTCAGATTTTCTGGGAATGAAGAGACCACTAATTTTGAGAGGTTCATTGCCGGTGCTGCGGCTGGCATTACCGCAACTGTACTTTGCTTACCACTTGACACAGTACGTGAACTTTTGGAACTTTGTAATTAGACTTTCAGTTGAGCTTAATATTCATGATAGAACCTGTATTAAATTAAACAAGCTATCATGTCTTGCTTGTTGTCTTTACTATATGCATAACTTCATGCATTTGTTCTGTGGATTATCTAGGCCACATAAAATATGCACATAACGCAAAATGCTTGACTTACTGAATCAACTGATTGACTGACATGGGAATGTTTTTCAATTTGGACTACCCGTCTGATGAGAAAAATGCATGGGCGTACTTGTCTTTGGTGGCTGTATCATTGGGTTTACATTTCCTTGTATTTCTGTAGATTTATGTTTTTTGTGGGTTTGCATTTTGCCAATTGACTCTTCAGCTTTTCAGCAGTCTAATGTCTCGGGTAAAAAAGGAAAAGGCCAGAACTAAGATTTCATTGATTTTAGCCCCCCCACCCGCCCCCATTTCCTTGTATTTCTGTAGATTTATGTTTTTTGTGGGTTTGCATTTTGCCAATTGACTCTTCAGCTTTTCAGCAGTCTAATGTCTCGGGTAAAAAAGGAAAAGGCCAGAACTAAGATTTCATTGATTTTAGCCCCCCCACCCGCCCCC